CATTTTAGATCATTAGGTCTTACACTGGTAGCTGGAAATCCAATTGAAACAAAAACTAAAATACAAAACAACAAACGCCTGCAAAATATATTGCCTCATCAGCATAACATTCACAATAGAAAATGAAACCTTCTTTTCCACACACTTTGGAACTACAATGCCAAATTAATGCATATAAGGAAACCAAAAATATCCATATCATAATGCTTTCAAATTACCAAGCACTGACTGATGCTCAGATCTATCACCTCCATTTTTCTAGGCAAATTTCCATGTTCAATTCCTTCAGGAGATGCAATGGCTTAAGTAGATCCCATGTCCTCTCCATCACCCCTACTCTGGTACCTTCCTTCCAGGTGCTCAGTTACAGTTGTGAAAGTATGCATGAACCAGATCATACAACTCACCCAAGTTACAAGGGAACTTATGCAAAAAAAGATTATTTTAACACAAATAATTTTCCTTACAGTTCATCCCGAGCCCCCACAACCTACACCATCCAGCTGAAGGGGCAGCACAGGGAGAGAGCAGCCAGAGCTGGCCACCATGTAAACCAGCACAGACTCCAAACAAGCCTTTACACAACTGAGGTAAAAACAAGAGGGATAGTTATTAATATAGGGAGGGATATAACAGGGGCAGTTATTAATATAACTGCACATGGAAAGGTTCCACACATGCTACCAAAGTATCTTGGTAAGTGACACTGTGGAGAAGGAAAGACAATGGGTTAGAAAACAAGCACGTTTGATTCAGCTGATTCTTATATTACCTACAGTTATACTCCTCCTCAGCCAAAAACCTGAGAAAAACAAAATCTGAAAAAAAGACACAACTCCTCAGGATGATTTTGATGAGGTGCCTTCTCTTGATGCAAATGCCTTGCAGAAATGCCACGCTGAAGAGTCAGCTGTATCCTCCACCGACACCAACAATTGGTTTGTATTGTGCCACAGTATGTAAAACACTATCTTCTCAAACTGACAGTGGACTCTTTTTAAAGATTTTTAAAAATCCTTTACCATTATTATTATTAATAATAATAAACAAATACTGTAATGTTCCTCCCACTCTTCTGGATGCTTCTGAAGAACACATAACTCTCCTATAAATACATATTTCAATAAAAGGAAATCAGAACTTTTTCTGAACTGTTTTCTATTTCTCACAAGACATAAAAATTGTCCATTACCAAACAAAACAGAAACACACCAAAAAAGCAAACAACCCCCTCAAACAAAACAAACAAAACCCCAAACCAAATAAACATGTGCAGCAGATGTTTGCTGTAAACCATCCTCATGCACTGGCAAAAAAAGCAGCAACGATGTAGTCTCACAGCTAGGTGGTTCTAGTAGCCAGCCTATCACTACTTTTGTTAATGAAACTTATATGGTCTTTAGAAAAGTCTAAACACTCTATGAGTATGCAGCAAACATATTTATACTTGGCCTCCAAATTTAAAAAATATCATGCTAATCAGGGAATGTTTTAAATGGCATTAGTAATGCCTCCCAAATAAGCATCAAGAGCTTCCTTGACACTCAAAAGGGAAGTCCCAGCCAACACCATGAGCATGAAAGCCCTAGAGAGATGAAGTACTGAAACAGGCAAAAATAGGAAAGCTCAAATGAAAGGAGATTTTCACAAAGCAGTTGCCTTTGGATGACGAATGCCCAGAAAGAAATAGACATCCTCACTAATCAGCTCCCAAGTGATTCCAGGAATGATTCAAATAAAAGAAAAAAGATGCAAGAAAAGCCGCTCCAACAGTCATACTGTAGGGCTCTCAGAAGTTGATGACTGCCTTTTGTAAAGCTGACTGTGAATATAAGGGCAGGCATGCTAAGGGCTAGGCTGCTCTTCCAACAGGAAAGCTTTTCACAGCTTCAGCCATTGCTCTGAATCACTACTATACCTCACAGATAAATTCAGAGTGAAAAAGAACACAACCTATGACTGATGTCCTGACACTTCTGCATCACTGCTCTGTTGAAGGCAACAGCAGGACGGACAGGTACTGCATTGGCGCTGGGTTTGACAGCAGCAGCTCCAGCAGTGCTGGACCACACTCGGAGAGACTGGGACTGAATGGTTTCTAACCTGACATCTTAGGATGATTCCAAGATGACCTGACTTTTGGTAAAACTTACCTAGTTCATTTCATGAACTACATCAAAGAACCATGTCGTTCTTTATGGGTGCATAAATGAATCTTGCCATTTTGGAAGGACAGTGTAAACAGACATCTACTTAATACTCAAATCTGTCAAACTTCTGTGATAAGGAAAATATGTTTAATATTTAACTGTAGAAATAGAGGAGCAGATACCAAAGCTTTGTGCCCAGTCTAGCAGGTATAGATATGGACATGCATAATCATCAACAAAATTTAAAATAACTACTTTCACTCTTTAATAAACCCTTCAATATAAACTTTACTTTGATGGAATTTTCAGACTCAGAATGCTTCTAGTAAATTACTAATACAAATACCAAATATTTTATCAAAAGCTATGTAACTTAAACGGTACAGTGTATTTTGCTGTTGCACCAACTTTGCATTTTTTATTCCCGAACAACAAAACAAACTGAAACCACAAAATTAAAACAAGCACAAATATGCTTTAGGGTACATTTAGCTCACATTTAAGTAATCCAAACATCTTGGATTATTTAATAATGAAACCACTGGAGACAGAACAGAGTCCACTAAAATCTCAGCTCCTAAAACCCACACAAAACACAGTAAATGCATGAACGTTGTACACAACTGATGTCAGACTGATACCAACTCTTGATGTCAATACAGGACACTACAAGCTGTCCAGCACTGCATTTACAGCAGGTATTTGCATCCAGAGAACACGCCTCCTTTAAGCCTCTCCAGTGGGATAAACACACTGGAAAAATGGTTACATCGCAGTTTGTGTTGACTGCTGACCACAATGTCTGGTTGAACACAAAGCAACGTGAGTCAAAAAGAAGAAAAAAAGGCAAAACAATCCTATAAAATATTCCCAACTCATGGCTCCTGACCTCGGGCCCAGTCTTGCCAGTGCCCTCGTAAGCATCGCTCCCATCCTTCCCTTTATCTGCCCAGCACGCAGGTCTGTGGCCGTGTCTGCTCACAGCCCAGATGGGGCCACAACAGGCCTGAGTGCTCCTTTTGGTACAAACTATTTGGGGAGGGCCTGAAGGAAGCACAGGATCTATTAGAGGGCTTGAGGAGCCATCCTTGATGGATAAAGGATGCTGTGTGGAAGGTCAGAATGCTTCACTGCAACACGTTCTTCCCACCTTGATGTTGTCTATGAAGCTTTGCCACCCCCACTTGGGGAAAAAACCCTGAGAATAAGTCCAACTAGCTTCAAACTTATTCCTCCTTGTAAAACTTATTACAAGGAGTGCCTGCATATACTGTACAGTGAATGCCCCTAACAAAAAGAAAAGGCACTCGCAAGATACTGCCCCTTTATTACAGCTCTGAAAGAAAAGGTAGGAGTACAAGGCAGGTAACAGCAGACATCAAGGATTACAGCTTTTTGGAGCTCCCGGAGAAACCGACCACAGGCCAGTGTGGGTCGGACGCAGCTTCCGAAGCCGTTCTTTTCGCTTCTCTCCCGCAAGTGGCCCAGCACTGTCCCGGCCCGCCTGACCCTCCCTCCGCCGCCGGAGTGGGGCACGGCCGGGCCCCACGGGCACGGCCGGGCCCCTCCGCCCGCCTCGGCCCCGCCGCCATGGAGGCCGCGGCCTCCGCCGGGCCTGTCCCCGCCCGCCTCCGCCGGGCCCCCTCCATCCTTCCCTCCCCGCCCCACTCACGGCCGCGGAAAGGCGCAGCTGGTTGGGCTCCATGGCCGCGGCGCGGCGAGGGCCGCCTCCGCCACCCGGCCGTGCTCCCCGCCCCGGCGCTGCTGTGCCGGCCGCTCCCGGAAAGCGGGGCAGAGGCGGAGCAGGGCCGCACCGGAGGCTCCCTTCCTCCCTCCGTCCGTCCCTCCCTCCGCCGCGGGCGGGCGGCGCGGGGCAGCGGGGCGCGGGGGAGGGCGAGCCGGCACGGGAGGGGAGGGGAGGGGAAAGCCGCTCATCATGTTTAGGGGCGAGGGGAGTCTCCCTGCCCGGGAACCCGGTCAGCGGCCGCGGTCTCCGCCTCTGGGAAGGTAGGACTCTGCCGCAGGGGCTCAGAGAGGCCTCGGTGCGCCCCTCTCTCTCCCCGGCCCGAGTCGCCCCCGCACCATCCCCGGCGCTTTGGGGCAGGGCAGTCCCTGTCGTGGGGGCACGGGCGTAGACCCCGCTGCGGGTGTCGGGGCTCGGCGGAAAGGGGCCCTGGGGAGGGATCGGGGAGACAGGGCTCGTTGTTCGGGAGAAGGGGACCCCTCAGGGAGGGAGGCCCTCAGGGCGCTCTGCGGCGGGCAGCCCTGCCAGGCGCTGCCCTCAGTGCGGCACAGACCGCGATCGCGGCCTCGGCACGGCGATCTGTAACACCGATTTCTGCCTGTGCCAGCGGCTTCTCTTCTCTTCAGTCGCGTCTCGCAGTTACAAGAACGAAAGGCAGTATGTGGCTCAGTTTCCCTGAGGACCGACGGCAACTGGGCGATAAGAATTTGGGAGCCTGTGGGTTGCATCATAAAAAGGGGCTTTATAAGCTAAAAGTATTTGCTGATAAAGTAGCTGAGAAGCACCAATCTTCGGCATTAAGTCATCAGATACAGCAATTAGCTGTCAGTGAATTGATAGTTTCCTGTCAAACACAGCCTGAACTGCTGAGGTCTGAAATGCTGTAGTCTATCGCAGGTACTTTCTTCTGGACCGTGTTAGAGTTTCCAGTTGTGTTATTGATCCTGGATACTTAAACCACAGACACACAATACAGGGAAATATTAAAAATTTAAATACTGCTACTGCCCTTGTAATATGCAAGTTGTAAAATGTAAGTTGTAGGTAGTTGCTTTTCTGCAGTAAGGCAATCATACACCATAGTTGACAGTGTATCTCCTTACCTTGGCTACTAAAGCTCTGTTTTCAGATTTTTTTTTCCCCTAACCTAGTGTTTGTGTTACTTGTTATGCCATTATTGCTGTGAAGAGATGCAAAGATGATGCTAAAGTGTCCCATGGAAAGGAATTGAGTGTCACTGTACGTATTTGAGTGCATGCAGTATTCTGCTGAAGTCCTACTGAATGCAGCCTGTTTCCTCTAAAGGGCAGAAACTCTGTTGCAAAAATGGAATTATCCTAATTAATAATTTAAATATATCAAAATAAATAATGTATACCCTCAAAGCTGTAATAGCAGGCATCTTTTTGTTGTTCCTGTCTTATGGAAATGACAGACTGCTTTAGTGTGAATGAATCCTGACATGATTCTGGAAACTGGGCCAACATATCATTGATTATGCACTTTGAAGAAGAGTGGGAAAGGTAGAGGAAAGATTTACAATTCTTGAATCTCTTGGCAATGTATTGTGGCCACAAAAGCCTGCATATAGAAAAAATACCGTTTCTGGGACAGGAAAATACTGCATTAAGTCCAACTACAGCAGCTTCTGTAGATGCTGAAGTTATGTTATAAACAGCTTTTCTGGGAATAGCAGCTAGATAATTTCATTTTGCTATGCCATGCTTTTCTGATGTCTACCTGTGTTGCTTTAGAACATCGCTTGACTGCATTTTATATGTGGGCAACAGTAAGCTACAGCTGGGGAATGGGCTCAGAAATGGCCTCCTAAATAAACTGGACGTTGAAACTGAACGTGTCCTTAGCCCTTGGTATATGCATTACACTTTGCTCCAATGGGAGCATCTCCATAGTTTAATTCTAGCAACAATATGTTTTGACACCAAAAAGGCACTTCTCTAATATTGAGTCCCACAGGACTGGAAGATACAGGAAAAAGAACAGATGAGATGGGCATAACTCTTTACAAGGCAGGAGGTGCTACATTTTAAGTTGAATTTCAATGACTGTACAGCCAAACCTCAGCACAGCTTTCCTTTACAAGTAAGTCAGTCTATGCCAATCTGTAAAAGTAAGTCAAGCTGCCAGTGAAGAAAGCATTCTTGAACTGGCCCTAGTGCTCATCTGACCACTTCTGCTGAACTGCACATTTTAATTTTCTGCCTCCCTAGCTCCTGTGACTTCCTGATGTGGTGTCTGGATGAGTAACCCTGGTGGGCAAAAAAATGCTAGGGATGGAGGGATGGGACAGGAGGGAAGTGGGAGGTGAGAAACAGGGGCTGCCCTTTCAGCAGCAGTTCTCTTTTAGATCAGGTCAGCAGTAATGTGAAACAATAGCCGTAAATTACAGTAGCCCTGAACTTTGTGGTCCATAAAGGAGAAAACATCACTGTAGCTTTCACTTCAGTTCTACCCTAAATCTAGAATGGGCTAAAGTATGAGACCTGGTGTATCCAAAAAGTTTTAAGTCAGACATGGTACATACATCATAGAGATGCAGAATTCAAAAAATTATACTTGAGATACTTATTGAGCTGTTCCTAAAAGATTCTAATACAGGAAATTTCACAGCTTAATACCTTAATCTACTAACCTCTTAGGTATAAAGGGGTTTTTCCTACTATCTAAGAAAAACCTTCTTTGTTGCTACTTGAGTTAATTTCTTAATGTTCTGCACTAGTTTGTACAGAAAGCAAGAAGTGATTATAATTTGAATAGCATCTTTAAATACTGGAAGACATATATCCCCACAGTTTCCCCTTTTTGCAGCCTGAGAAAGTATACTTTAACCTTTCTATGTAGGTTACATATTGGAGAACTCTTACATTTCATTGCTTGTTTTCAGACTCAGATTTCTCTATGTATTTTTAAGAAATACGAAGCGTAGATGTTTACTCCTTAACAGTATTTAGCCAGGAAGAAATACATCAGCCTTCCTGCAAAAGATGATTGCCTCCTAAGATCTTCTGGCAAAGTTGTTTAAACTGAGCAGCTGATCTGTTGAATCAAAATTAGTTTGGTTAGCCAATAAAAAAATTGTTCCAATTTTTAATGAAGCAAACCAGAAGGCTTTGCCAGCAGGCCTGAAGAGGCAGCTACCACTGGTGTGGAGAGCAACGGCAGGGCAGTCCCTGACAACTACATCCATTGTGGGCTCTTGCTGGAGACTACATTTGAGTTTGATTATGAGACAGTCATGTGGAACCATCAAGAATGCTAGTAAAACTGAGATTTGCCCTGTTTAATCTTTCCTCTTTCTCCATTAAGTCAGTTCTTTTGTTGACAAATGAGGAAATTACTTTCTAATGCTATTTGATACTGGCAACTTCCTATCTCCTACATGTCTGTGAAGTAAGTTGCCAAATCATTTATTTTTTGTGTTTTCATTGTACAAACAGTACTTTGGCATCTGTCATGTTCCTGATTTTTATCTCCTCCTATTTGAAGCCCCCTAGTAATTTGTAGAAAAAGCAAGTAAAGCTAAAAATGGATGTTCATATATGCCAGTAACATCACATTCAGTAACTGCAGCTCTTTTTCATTTAGCTGTACCCATGTGCCATTTCAGGGATGCACTGCGTCTCCCAACAAGCCCTGAGGAAGGTATACACTACAATCAGGCAGCTGATTCCCAAGTTTAAGTCTTCCTGAGAGTCAGGGAAAACCAGTGGGGCTGTACATGATGGGCAGTGGTTCACGCTCACCAGTTGCCATCACAGGCACTGGTCACTCCAAACCAGTCATTAAAGACTACTGATGTTCTGTAATCATCTAGAGGCTTTGTGGAGATAGCAGGCAGTGCATATCTGGTTTGTCAAATTCAATAAATGGTATGTTCCATATTTTTGTGTCATACAGGGAATATTAAACATGAACCTTAACTAGCCACTAGATGTCAATGTTGTTGTGCTAAAAGGCAAATACAGTTTTATTTGTTTGGCTGATAAAGTAATTTCCTCAAGAAAAGAACTTCTGTATTTAAAGATACTTCCAGTACAGAGTCGGTTACAAAAAATAATCATAGACAAGCCCATGCTATGTCCATTATTTCGGGAGCAGCTGTGCAGTTTTATGATATTTTGAAGTTGCAATTACCATTTCAGTGCATAATAATTGTTAGAAAGGTGCCTTTGAAAAAATAGCATCTGATTGATCATAATTTTCCTTCCTTGTTCTAAAATCCCAGACCTTTGTATAAGTAGTCACAATCATTGTATTGCATTTCACTTGTTAATAAGATAAAATGGAGCTAATAATATGATATCTAATCCTATTATAAGAGTATTGAATTTCCTAAATTCCAGTAATCTCTGGATATTTTCCTCTTAATTATTCCTGTTTAACACCATTGGATATCAATGTCAGATACATTGTGTGGAGACAGAATTTCTAGAGCATGAAGACTTACAATATGATAGGTAATTTGGAAAACAGTTCTTTCGAAAATTAGTATATCTAAAGGCAGATCCAACAGATGATGGCATTTTAGAAGGACATACAAGTAGAATTTGACCCATTTGTTGTTCCTGGCCCCTGTACCTCTAGGGTGAACAAATCACTGCCAGTCTGCACAACTACTTGCTGCCTAGTGCACTGAAGGTACTGGTTCTATTGTCTGTCTACAGAGCATTTATTTTGAGACCAAATTTTGGAAATTGGTTTAATAAACAGTCATGGAAAGCTGAAGAAGACAACAGTGCACACCTTGAATTCAGATTAAGCTTGTTCTGCTGTTAGGATAAAAACAAGTATCAAAGGCTCTTATTAAAAATAAAGTTGAAACTTCCTGTTGATCTGAAAATCTCCCAAGAAGTCAAAGATGTGGAAATTGTACCCTTACTCTCAGCTGATCAATTTGGTAAATAGAATCCTAGTTTAGGCCACAATGTTAGAAAATACAGCCTAAATAACCTGATTTATTCCCTTAGCTCCACCTCCTGTGATGCATGTAAGGCCTCTCAACTTCATACACAGTTCACAAGATTTTTTTATTACTGTTAGATTACTGTTTTTATTACTTTTTTTATTACTTTTATTAGAAGAGCAGCCTTAGTCTTCATTATCATGGACTGAAGTAATTGAAGTCATGCTCCACAGTTTATTTGATGGCAGCATTACTTCCATTCTTAACATACTAAAGAATTACAGATACACTATAGAAGAACTATAACTATTTTAGTTCCTAGCATCTATTTTAGTTTTCTTGCCTATGACTACAGAGTTATGCAAGAATCTCATAAAAATATCTTGAAAACCATATTGCTTCATTCATTTTGTTGTAATTAAGGGAACACTCAAAGCATCAACCTTGATCCTAAAACTTCTGTGTACTTCAAGAAATTTCATTAAAATAAAGTTTTCTGCAAGTCCTTGTTAAGATGTATAGTGTCAATAATAGCAGTATGATCCTGTAAAGATCAACTGAATGAGTTATGGAAATAATAAATCAGACTTTGATTAAAAAATAATTCTTAGAATTAACTCCCAGTATTATCTCTAAAGATTTGGCTTATTTTTGCAAAATGTACAGAATTTTACTAAATAAATCCCCTAGAGATATATTATGGACACTCCTGTGTAGTGTCCTTTAATTGCCACTGCTAGTTCCACGTTTATTTTACAGCAGATGATTTTGGTCTCCAGAGCTTAGTCTGGCAACTCTGCTCAGAACAAAGCTCACTACAAGATTACACATGCATGTAGGCATGCATAAACTTGAGCAGTGATTTCAGCCTATCAGGAATTTAATTTAAAAGTAATTACCAGTATATACAAAATACTTCTTAGTTTTATCAACCTGCATCTAAGTAAGTGGAATATAGAAACTAACTCCTCCACCATGTTCCAGTTTTCATTTGAGAGGATTTTAGAAGTTCATTATGCTTAAATTCCCTGAAGTATGAACTATTTCCTAAGAGAGCAAAGAATGCCTAATCTTACTTTTATGGCTAGATCTGCTTTGGTGGAAAGTGACTGATGGCATCCAATTACATAAATACAAGAGAAAGGCAAATTTGTTTTTCCATTTTGATATCAGAGTTATTATATAAGATGAAAAAATCATAGAAAATAATAAGCAAGAGAAGGAAAATCTAGTAATGGGGAACTAAATAAAAGAAAACAACTGACAAGCAAGGTACTTATTTTCTTTAAATTACATTGTTTCCCACTGGATTTTTTGGAAGGAGAAAAAAGAATACATGAGCAAAGTTACAGTCCATTGCATTTTTAAACCATAGTGGAAAAGACATGCATTCCCTCTTTTCCTGACAAGCATTTTTGTGCATAATGTCTACCATGTATATATATTCATAATATTCACTTATGAGAATTGAGGAAAGGTACAAATCATTGACAGGGAATGTTTGGAATCTGAGGTCTTCTATATAAAAAGGTGACAGACAGCTCGTTGTCATCTGAATAATGCAAGCAGTTAAGCACTATTTGTGTACCCAGCATTCTACATAACCTGGAAAAGAAAGGTGCCTCGAAGTTGGAGTCTAAGATATTATGTTAATAGAGAAGTATGGTCTCATTCCTGCAAAGATGTTCTACAAAACACCTGTTTTTTAGAGATGTGTTTCATCTTAACTTTGAAGTTGAGCTCTTAACTCAGGAATCCAGAAGGCCAGTCGTGAAAACTCTACTGTGGACCTGGTAAGATGAGTTCATCAGAGTTTTCCACTGGATGTCCATAAGCAATGAAAATAAATAGAGATTGTTTGCAATATACAGTGCTGCAGTCAGTTGTTTGGACTCTCACAGTCAGATTTTAAAAAACTAAGGTATAAGAGCATAACACAATGTAACGATGACAGAATCGACCCTGACTTTATCTTACTATTTCAGTGGGGTTGCATAGTAAAGCAGTACAGTAGCTGCATGTAGAGGCTGTTACTATCCAGGTTGAGGTGATCAATAACTGATCCTTCAGTGAAAACTGAAGGATATAGGGATATAAAAAAGCTGTTCTGAGCACTGAAGTAGGATGAATCAGTTAAAAATTCCTATTTCACAGTTTTTAATGAACATGTTTATAGAGT